AAGGAAGGAAGGAAGGAAGGAAGGAAGGAAGGAAACCCAAATATTGTAAGCATATACAGTAATCCATCTTAAATCCTAAATTTCACTATGGATCCCCTGCCAAAGCCTTGCTGCTAGATAACAAAACTTTGTAACACTGTAGGTTGTATAAAAAAACCTTATCAGTGAGCAAAAAATCAACCCACACTCTCTGATTGCTGCTAGAAGGGAAGAATAAGATTTTGACACATTTTGGTTGTATAAAACCTGCAGTGTAAAAGAATGTCTATTACTGATTCTACCTCTTGTCTGCCACAAGGGCAGAGACAATGACCCAAGGGCAGTTTGCAGTACCTACCCTATAACACTGCTGAAGGAAGGATCTTACAGCAAGCCCTGATAAAAGCCCAAAGGTAGCTTGAGTAGGTCAGGGAGTAAATATAGGGCACCATGTCTCTTTGATTAATTGTTTTTTGTTAAAATTGGGGGGTTAAAACTACAAAAACTGGGCAGTTGGTTCGAATTATACTGCAGCTCAATTTCAAGTAATTGTTGGGCAATCAGATTTTTAGCCTGAGCCTGACCAAGGCTACATGAAATGGTCTGAGCGAGGCCACAGGAAAGGAGCTTCTGCTTAAAGGACTTCTTCCAAGGGGATTGGAAAGTGTTACTGAGAACAGAGTACAGCAGCCCACTGGGCTGTTAGATAAGTTTAAGACAATAATTAAATATTACTGGCTTGATGCATGTTATTAGATGCATGGCATACATCTTACCGAGGATATTAAGCAGACTAATGGCCCTATAATTAGTGGAGTCATCCTGTTTCTTTTCTTAAATAATGGAATAATAACACACACACCTCATCACTGGGATAAAAGCTGTTTTATTAATATAGGTAAACTGGGAAGTTAGAACTGGAATCCACCAAAAGAAGTTTGATTTAAATAAATCAGTGGGAATACATGAGGTCAAACATTCTATTATCTATCTGAACTCATTAACTGACACTGGTTGCAATTGCTGCAAAGAATCAATTGCTAAATTTAGTGAAAAGCAACAGGTGTCTTGAATTTCACAAAGAGTTGTTAAATAAGCGTTTTCAGGGATCCATCAGTCCATTCGGGGTGTTGTGGATATGGTCTGAGGAACCATTATATGCCAGAAGAGAGGAGGATTTCTATCCTTGGCCATTGGTACCAGGAAATTAGGCAGTTCATTTCTTCATTTTCAGCCATTTTTAATTATTTCTTTTCAATGCTAAGAGGTTTCGAAAGGATTCAGAAGAAAGATTGGATTATAACTTACAAATAATGAGATTGAGCATCCTCTTAGCAGCTACAGTGTCAGAATCAAACCAAGGTTTTAAAAAAAACATTTATGAACAGTCCTACTCTTTCTATAGATTGTAATTTAGATATAAGTGATGGGTAAGAGTCCAGAATTTGGTTAGCAAGATAATAAAGTTGAGAATATTGTTCCTGAAGAGACTGGCTGAAATGTGTATCTTCTGGTAGATATCTCCAAGCAACACCTCCAGAAAAGCTGGCTTTCTATAGCAGCAGAATCTCATCTTCCCCTTTGAATCTCAATTTTAATCATGGTGGCAGTGAACCCACCAATTTAGCTCCATATTTTTGCCCATTGACTAAGACTGAACACATCAAGAAGACTAGTTTCAGTTCAATATGGCTAAATATGGTATCAGGCTAGAAACCAGGAGACTGTGAGTTCTAGTTCCACTTTAGGCATGAAAGCCAGCTGGGTAACTTTGGGCCAGTCACTCTCTGTCGGCCCAACTCACCTCACAGGGCTGCTGTTGTGGGGAAAATAGGACAAGGAAGGAGTATCAGGTATATTCACCATCTTGAGTTATTTATAAAAATAATAAAGGCGGGGTAAAAAATCTAAAATTATATACTTATCTAATTTATATCTTACTTTTCATTCAGGAATGTCACATAGCATACATAGTGCTCCCAACTATCTTTTCCCACAAAAGCTCCGTGAGGTGGGCTGAAATGAGAGAGAACTATTGGCCCACGTGACTGAGCTTCTGCGGCTGAGGGTGGACTAGAACTTGGGTCTCCCCCTTACCAGTCCAACACATTATCCACTACACCATGCTGGTGTCTAATAAAGAGCTCTCGGGTAATTCTGCCCTTTTGGCATGACATCTATCTATCTATTGATTTATTTACTTACTTTTAATATACCACCAACCTCCAAGTAGAGTCAATAAGCCAAAATAAATACTGTGTAACAGTAATACAGAAATAATATAAAAATAATAATCTTCAAAACCATCAAAGCATAGCATAAATTACTGTAACAAGACAAATCTTTTAAAAAATTGAAGACACAATCCAGTGAAGTGTTTGTAATTTACATTGATTTTACTTCCTGAAATTATTCTTGTTGAAGTTAACAGGTGTTAAGTGCTTATATATAGTTGGATCAGTCCCAATTAAATGTCAAAGGAGAAATAATGAAATCTGTTGACTGGGACATGCTGGCTGGGGTATTCTGGCAATCCCCGTACATTTGCAGGGGACCAGGATGAAGAAAGCTGTATTTGGCCATTGCTAACAGAATTAGACCCAGTCTGGAGTAGTGCCTATAGGTCCTGGATTAGAAGCTGGGAGACTGAGGGTTTTAATCCTGCCTTGGGCATGAAAGCCAGGTGGGTGACTTTGGGCTACCTACCCTCTCTCAGCCCTAGGAAGAAGGTACTGGCAAGCCACTGCTGGAACAAGTTTCCTTGAAAACTATATGGACTTGTTCCTGTAGTCACCAGGAGCTAGAACTGACTTGAAGGAAAACTACTGCATGAAGACCACCTCATTGCAATGTCAGGAATAATAATTTATTAAGTCATATCCAAATATCAGAGTACAATATTTAAAAGATATATATACTCTCAAGTTCAAATACAGGAAGTAATATTCAATTGATTCTTTTCCTATTTTAGATGATGATGATGATGATGATGATGATGATGATGATGATGATGATGATGATAATGATTTGAGCAATTTGGTCATCTTCTGAAAAATGGTCATGGATGGTATATTTGTGAAAAAGGATATTCTCTGGGATACATAAAATTAGTATTTGGGGGTGGGAAAAACAGAAACAGCTCCAGAGCCCAATCGGATCAAACAGGTCCCTTGCTGCTGTTTGCCTCCAAGGCTCACAGGCAAGATCAACCGAGAGTAGTAAATGCCAACAGTTCCCCAATATTACTTGGGAACATATTCCAGACTGCAGCTGCTTCCAAAATATACCAACTCATTTCAGCATCCTTGTTTATCAAAATGTATTGCTTTGCTAGCAGGTGTCTGCATTATTGAGAATCATCAAAAAATTAACCTGAGGATGAAAGGCATAGCATCTTAATGAAGCCTTAGTCTATGCTGCATGAGTATTAGGTATCATTTTATTTCCAAACCTACAGTAATGCAGGGCATGAACGTACTCACTTGATCAGAGGTATAAGCCACCAGCCGGCCAATGATCTCTCCCTGAGTCAGATTTTCATTTTCTAACTGAACACGACGGATTGCTTTGGTTCGAGCCGCAAGCAATGCAACCAAGGTAGCTTCACTGGCAGTCCCCTGTGGTGAAAATTGGACAAGTTGGACAATTGGACAGTTGGACAAGAGAATCCAGTAGAAATTGTCCTAAATTAATAAGGAGTATCCACTGCGTTGGTGTTGCTTATACAGTCCAGTTGGTGGTATTGGGCATGGCACAGCACCAGATCATCCAGATCATCTTGCTGGTCTAATAGCAGCAATCAGGGTAAGAATTCCTTCTTCCTGCCTCAAATGTATACAATGCAGTGTATTTTATTCATGCTTGCTTTAGGATGCCAATAGTCTATAAATGCATTTATGTGAAAGTGCTCTTAGACACTTCCAAGGAGAAACAGCAAAGAGGCAGAAGTGGCAACATTACACAGAGACCTTGTTTAAATTAAGGGCACAATCCAGTTGATTTCACCTTTCGAAATCATTCCAACTGAAATCAATAGGGTTGCATTCATAAATATGGATGGATCCATCCCTAATAAAATGACAGAAGAAAAATAATCAGCTGAAGGCTCTGTTGAGAAACTTCGCTTTTTTAAATGACACAAATACTAGGCACACAGTTGATTTTACTTTTCTGTGCAAAGAGGTTACCATGGTGAACAGGCTCAAGAGCCGGCACATCTATTGCTGAATAGTTACCTCTGTCAGCCAGAGCCCCCAGCAAGACATTTTCTTTCATCTCTGAATGTTTCAAGTGGCACATTTGAAGTAACAGGCAATGATTTCATATTGATTTGGCCTTTCAGTGGTAATTAAGCACCAATTTTCATAAGCGAACGGTGCAAATAATCATTTGGTTTTAAATCTAGGAAAGATTGGCAGTTTAATATAAAACCCGTGTTGAACACATCCTTTCCTGTTTCTATCACTGTTATTACGACTGGGAGAGAAGCAAATCATCTGCACAAATTGCTTCTTCTCCGGTAGTATCGGGAGAGGCCGAACCCATTCTCCTCCTCCTGTCCTAAAGTTAACAATGAAAACATCTTTCAAAATTACAGGCAATCATGAATTGTCATCAAAAATGAGTTGATAAATCGACATAAAAGTCCCATGTCGTCAGCCCAAAACGGGCTATTGCAAGATGAAATAATATACAATATAATATATATAGAAAGATGAAATATATAAATATATATATTTATATCACATATAAATACAAAACACTATAATATAAGGCTACAGCAAAGATTATTCAGGCTGTATATTTCAGCAGAATATTCAAGGCCAGGCAAGGCTCATTTATAACCTTTTAGTGTATTAAAATACAAAACTCTGAAATTCCAGCTGGCATGGAAGAATACAAATGAAGCACAAGCTTCTTTATCGAATTTGCAAAGAAAGGATCTATAATAACTGGCTCAAATATAAGGTTGCTATTTCTACAGGGCATTACCTCACAAGAATTTCACATGTGCATGCAGTGAACTTGATAATGAAGAGTTTTAGGACTCATACATGTATGCACAATCATTTGATTACTGAAACTTCAAGAGACAACTTGCATACAGTATGTGAATGGGTAACTGAACAACAATGGAGTCAGCTCACATGTTCATCTTCAGCTATCAAACATACAGTAATCAGTCACAGAAAAATAAAATAATATGTGAATTTACTCTCCAGTGATCAATATGAATAAATCAAATAGAAATACTCAAATCAGAAACCATGCCCGACCTAGAGGCAAACAAATCCAGAGTTAAAAACTTGGTTTCAATATTTATCTGATTTCATTATTCATCAATTTTTGAGTCTTGAGATACAGTGGCATCTCATTCTGAAGACACAGGAATAGTCATAATTATGGCATGTTAATTTACACATTGCCAAATCATAATGCAAAGTGTTTCAGAAATTAATTTTAAATGGTGGGTTCCTTATTCTGGTTTATTTCCTTAATGATGATTTAGCAAGATGTTGAATTGACTTGCTAAATTTAGAAGTATTTAAGTCATTATCTAACACAGAATTTTGCAAAATTGGGGCTACTGCAAGATGAAATAATATACAATATAATATATATAGCAAGATGAAATATATAAATATATATATTTATACCACATATAAATACAAAACACTATAATATAAGGCTACGGCAAAGATTATTCAGGCTGTATATTTCAGCAGAATGTTCAAGGTCAGGCAAGACAGAATGGACAGAAATGTATTTAACACTGAGTTAGTGGTATGGAGCTTACAGCCTTCCATACGGTCCTGAATTACACCTCCTGTCAGTCAAGCCAGAACAGCAACTGATGAGGGAACTTACAAGCTATTGCTCAGCTACAGTTTCCCCATTCCTCAAACACTCACATATACCTGTAGTCCAGAGAACTATATGAAATAATGTTGAGTAGACTCATCCTAAATATATTCCTGGTTATGCTTCCAGATATGTCCTTTATTCTTCTTTTCTACTCTATTCCATTTCCTATCTAACCTGGCTTTCATTCCCCCCCACCCTGCCAGCCACTGGACATCTCTAAGCATTCCCTTTAATATTTGTTTAGATAATATTTTCTTCATCACTGCAAAATTTGGGTTTACCCCATATACAGTATCTGTTGATAGTTTCCATTTATATGTAATTATTCCATTTTGGACAGAAAACTCTAAGCATACAGAGAACTGAATCAGAAATAGA